GAATTTTCTCAAAGAGTAAAAAACATGGCCCTGGAAGAAGCATACTTATCAGTAAATTTTGATGTGCAATCCATGTATACAAACATCTCTGGAGAAGATGCGCTAACGGCTCTGCTGGAAATCATGAACTGAGAGAAGCATATCCTTGAATCGGAAAGGATTAGGAGGGAGTCGTTAACACGACTAATCAACTTAACAATAAGGATAACCTGTTTTACATTCAAAAGCAAAATCTATGAACAAATATTTGAACTTCCCATGGGATCGCCGCTCACCTCCTTTAGCAAAAGTATACACGAACCAATTAGAAGAGAATTTCATGCTTTCATCGCTACAACCAGTTGTGCTCATCTTGTACCTGGGCCATTACTTCTCACTTTGGTCATATGAAAAAGAAAAACTGGAGCATTTTCGGAAGTTTCTAAACCAGATTGATGAAAAAATCCAATTCACAATTGAAGTAGAGAAAGATGAACAGTTGTTGAAGCGATTCGCCCTAATGAAGATTCGCTCAAGAAGAAATTGTTCAGAAAGAAGTCATTTCGGGATACTACTCAATTTCCAGTTCCATCACAAATACAGTCTAAAGATAGGACTCATGAGGAGAATGCTTATCAGAAGCCAACGTTTAACTGATGTAGAATTCTGGGATGAAGAATTGGACTGATTGACTAGGTTATCCCCCGTCAACGGCTACAAAAGCGAAGAAATATGAAGAAATATACAGGCCGTGAAAAGCCGGTGATTGTACGGGAACTGCGAAATAACAGTAAGGACGGAGAAGGATTTACAAAAGCGGTTATGTCTACCTTCTTGCGAACTAACTTAAAAACTATGGCCGATACTAAGGAAATGGAATATTCGGATGGCTAGAAATGAAAAAACAACACTTCACAAATCTACTGACGCAACACGAAAGGGTAGACAAATAACATTGTTCATGAGTTTATTGCATATCATGAGGCGCCTGCGAGCAGAAATGTATTGGAGAAATCACTCTGGAAGAAACTTGTACAATTTTTGGAGCTTGGTGGTCACTAAACTAAGCAAACGGATAAGTATTACCCTCACAGAAACCCGGCATTATGATCCAAATGTACAAGAAATCCACCTGAGACTAGGCGCTCTGCTCGGTGAGGCGGCAGGCGTGATGAGGCCTCACTAAATTTGCCAATAAAGGGTACATCTTTTGACGAGTGGAATGTAAAATAGTCAGAAGTTGTGATATGGCCGGAGTGGGATGGAGGTTACGGAGTATATAGATGAGCCAGGACAGAAAGAGGAGTGATAATGCAACCGTTTCGACAGAATGTTGGTCGAGGGATTAATTTAACTTGTCTCTAACGCGTTATAGCTTGGTTTGAAGAATGTCAAGACTCACTGATGATGCCGACTACGGTGCTGGCAAGACGTCTGAGAATGTACCAAGTCCACGGTCTGATGCTGGCAATTATGACGACTAAGGTGCGTTCAACTAAGTCGCCTTGACAACAAGACCAAGCTGCGATAATGAGGTTATTTCACTTCCATCTTAATGAAGTTTAGGTAGACTAGATACATTCGGAGGTATAGTATATTGCAGAAGTGGGCTCATTTTCCATTTTCCCAGTGCTCCGCTACTTATAAACATTTTGATTCTTAATTACAGTTGTCTTATACAATGACTGCATCCTTTCTCGTGTCTCTCCCTTGTTTGCAATGCGTTCTTCGTTTGTTTAATGTTTGTGAATCATGCTAGTTTAGTTTTGCGGTCTGATATATTCATTCTTTCCATACCTCATATAAATCATTGCTATTGCCACTGGACATTATTTATTATTTACTATCGTCATTACAGTACCTAAATGTAAATTGATTTTATTTGGATTCTCAGTCCCAGCCTTTATGACTCGGATTAATCTAGTTTGTCTCGCCATCGTGACCTCAAATTTTATTTCATTTTCTTATATCCGTTAGGTTGGTATCTCCCATCTTGTGTTGTCTTGTGCTCCTCGCCTTAAAAATATCACATTGGAGAACTGTCCCGAGCTTGCCGCCATTCTTATTCATCCTATCACTCAATTGAGTCGACTCGATGGTTTACCCGTTTCTGTAGCTGCCGCTTCTGCTAGTGCTGACTCCATTGCTGGTATTTCAGGCAACTGTCCAGCCGCCGCTGCAGTTGCAGCTGCTGCCGCTGCAGTAGCTGCCGCCGCCGCTTCAGCCAATTCAACCACTTCTAGCTCGGGATGCATCTCTTCAATCGCCACATCGTCATCAATTCCTGTGTCTAATCATTTGCAATCTACGGGAGGTGCATTTTCTGGTGGCTTCCCTTCTCTCCAGCTACCCGGCCTTCTACCTAACACGTCGCAAATGACCTGCTCTTTTGATCCACTTCCAGCACTCCGTCGAGTTCGCATCATCCGCTGCCCCAAGTTTGCTATCTACCATTGGCTGTATACTGCTGCTCTTCTATACCCTGAACATGATGAGAATCTTTTTATTACCTTTCGGTGTGTATATCTTTTATTTCCTTTCTGACCTATTATTTTTTTCGCAATTTCCTGGTTTAAATTGTATTTGATTCTATTCCCATCTATTTCCCCATATTTTCATTATTTTTCCTTCTCAATATGCTCTAGTAAAGTTGCCTATCTTTAATTCAGGGGCATTTGTAATCCCCTTAATTTGCATAAATGTATCAATGAGTGCATCTTACTCTTTTTTTAGCCCATTTGGCCATTACAATGCTGGTGTAGAGCGAGCCCTTTGGCACTACTCCAGGTTCGCGCATGTCATGATCTCTCACGACTTTAAACAGCATGAAAGTGAACGTGTTATGGAAGAGTTTCATTCGAGCTTCGATCAGCTCTTTCGTGAGGTTATGAATTTCTCTGAGTAAGCTGTACATATATTTTATACTTAATCTGAATATATATAATGCCGATTATAGTAGCATATGCATGTTCGCCACATCAAGAGTCCCACTAAAATGTGATATGCAAGAGGTATGGCTAGCCCTGAAATTCACGTCTGACCTGTAGCCCATT